GCCCTGGAGGAGCAGGGGAGTAAGGGTGTGTGTGTCAATGTCCCTGGTCCATCCGTATAAGATGTGGCTGTCCTGCTTATGCAGCAGACTAAGAAGCACTGGTCATTTCAGACTCAGGATGGAGGTATCATTTGTGGGTTCCCAAAACCTGAGAGATGAAGGTCATATCTGCCTTCTAGGGATATTCTAGCAGGGAGAGAAAGATTCACAGGAATCTTCTCACAGGAGAACAAGTCCACGGGTCAGTCACTTTCTCAAGCATCCGGGCACATTAGTACCTCAGCCCCCTCTCCTGAAGAAGTTGCTCCTGCAGGGCGAAGTTCCCCCCTTCCCTCAGACTCTGCTCCCTCATCTCCTTACCATGAAACTTCCTGGGCCACCTACACAAGACCGCCAAGTCCCCACCCTGAACATCTGCACACCCCCGGCTCCATGTCTTGTTTTGCTTTTCTCCACAAAACCTGCTCTCCTACTTATTTGTTTAGAGTCCACCCCACACACATTTCCAAGACTGCGCAGTGTGAGTTCCCAGAGGGCTGTCTTGTTGCTATGGTTCACAGAAACCCAGGGCAGTGCTTATCCAGGGTAAGCATCCAACATCTGCTGGGTGGACAGACAGACAAATGAGTATGGGCCACAAAAGACACACACCAGGGATGGGAAAGACAGGGTGTGCTTTAGAAAAGGGGCTCAGAACAGAAATGGTGATACCTGAGCAGATAGAATAGTGACAACACAGGACACTACAAGGAACAGGACCAGCAGAGGCATCAACAGTGACTGTGCAGGACTGGGGCTGCTTCTGATGGCAGCTTACTGTGCTTATTTTATCAAGAAGTTAGCAGAGGAAGTCCACATTTGATTTTGGACCAAAACCAAAGCCACAGAAACACTGGGCTGAACACAAAGCAACACAGATTTGCTGGTTCAAGCCTCAACAGCCATCCTGGACCATGACAAGATGGCTTACTCTGAGGAGGGTAGGAACGTCCTAGAAAGAACATCATGGCTGCATGGAGCTCTCTTGTGCCAGCCAGATATGCTTCCCTCCAGACTATTTAAATGAGAAACCAGCCCAAATGTGTTAAAGTCAGCTTCTTGTCAGGCTTTCCGGGTACACCCTGTTGGATGTGATACAATAAGAAAAGCCCATGGAAGAGTGAAATCTTAGCGAGGCACAAGGACACACACTTATAATCCCAGCACCAGGATACGAAAGCAGCAGGATTTTGAGTTCCAGGCCATCATGTGCTACAGAGCAAAACCATACAGAGGTGGGGGTCAGAGGTCTTGACTTAAGTTCTACAAGTATGGGATTCCACTTGTCCAGTGAGGGACAAAAAAGGGGCTCAGAAGTGAATCTGCAGAAAGGGATGCCCAATTTTAAGCTCTAGGATGACAAGATAGAGGAGGAAAGCCCAGGTGGCTGGATGTGCCAGGGAACTCAGGAAGCTTAAATGGAAATCATATGGTATGGTGATAATAGCATCCCTCCCCAAGTTGGCAGAGGCAGAAGGAGAGCTGTCAGTCAACTGGTATAGAAAGCCTGCATTCTGCTGGGCACACTGCTCCCCAGGGTGGGCAGCAGAGGCCAGGGAGCCCAAGCTGTCTCTGGGCAGTCAGCAGGAGAGTATCAGGCTTGTCCTAGAAACAGCTGCACTTCTCCATCTGAGTGCCCATTCTAGGCACCACCCAGAACAATGTGGACCAGGGACTGTGGCACCACCCAGGACTTTTTTAGTATTTTTAGGGAACACGTGATCCTGAGGAGAAGATGAACTGTTCAAGCAGCTCCTAAGTTGGCTCCTGGGACATAACAGGTTCAGACGTTTGGTTACAAGTACTTCCATAGTCAGGACATAACAAGCTAACGAATTCTGAAATTTTCTCTGTAATGGTCAAAATGAGATTCTTCTGGTTAAGTGAATGTTTCCTCTAATATTTAATTAACCATAACATAGCCCAAGGTTCCTAATAAGTTCTCTATTTCCGGTGTTTATCACTTGAAGGTGACTTGGGAAGGCAACTCTGAGCATAGACACAGGTCCTATGCCAGCTCACTACAGCTCTGCATCTTGTGGACATGATGGAGTGTCAGGTTCTTGTTGAGACAAGCTCCAGGCTGCCTCTAGAAGGCTGGGTGCCGAGGAGCCACTTGTCCCTCTTGTTCCAACACAACATTCCCTGGAGCAAACCATCCTCTGAACCTTCTCTTACAAGAGAGAGGTAATCTTTAAAAGGGAGAAACAGGACACCTCAAAGCCAGCCACTCCCCAGTGACCTTGCAGTACTTTGTTGTCCATCCTGAAGATGCTTCCAGCTGACCTGACCTGTGTGAGAAGTTCTAATTTCCTAATCAATACTGAAAGAAACAATTCCTTGAATAAAAGATACCCACACACAAAGAGCGTGGTGTCTGAGGCAGACAGGGTAGCTAAGAGATGTCAGGGACAGGAGTGTGGCTCAGTGTCACAGCACTTTGTAACACTTGAGACCAGAAGGACAGAGATGGAGTATATTCCAGGAAGATTAAAGGCATGAGTGAATGGCTTGTGTAGGGAACTTTCTAAAGCCCAGGAAGAATTAAATCACGGTAAGTGAAGCAAGCCTTTTTGGAGGGGACAGGGGTATCTTTTATCACAGAAACAGATTCACAAAACACAGACTTACAAGCAAAGGGAGCATGACCTCAAGACTGATAACCCTTACCTGCCTGCCGCTATCCAGTTTAGAGCAGCGCTTCTCACCCTTCCTGACACTGCAGCCCATTAACACAGTTCCTCATGTTGTGGTGATCTCTACCTATAAAATTATTTTTGTTGCTACTCCATAGCTGCAATTTTGCTACTGTTATGAGTTGCAATATAAGTATCTGTGTTTTCCAATGGTCTTGGGTGACCCCTACGTGAAAGAATCATTCAACCCCCAAAGATGTCTCAACCCATAGGTTGAGAACTGTTGAGTTAGAACCACTAGCTTACACCTCAGCAGGAAAGGTGACAGTCCCTTCAAGTCATCTGAAGCTGCTACCAAGCTTTGTGAGAGGGCTTGTAGCTGTCAGAGATGGGCTCCGCAGAGCAGGAAACACATACTCCAAGACAGCAGCCTGATCTTCAGGCCACCTACATGGCAGGGATTATGTAGGTCCAGGTGGTATGACAAAGCACAACAGCAGGAAAGTACCAACGGGAAAAGACATATTCTTCAGCTATGGGTCCCCTGCACACCTCCAGGGAGCTGACAGGATTGGAAGAGGAGCAGCTTTGGAATGGAGACAGTACTCCAACATTGGGTTGACATGAGCTTAGGCACACGGACTGGACAGCAGGACTTGTGCCTGATGAAGGGAGGAAACACATCTGGAAGCACAGAGCAGGCTAGAACTGCTATGCAAACGAAGATCTGCCTAGACTGGCCCTGTGGTCTTCTCCCTGAAATAGTAAGGTTTCTCCAATGTTAGAGTCCTGGGGATCAAACAGGGACAGGCTGAGTTACCTCTGGAGATTCCAGATAAGTAAGGCAGGATAGGCTCTAGAACAAACCCCTAGTCAGAGACACTTCTAGACCTCCTACAGGATGGAGTTCCAGTCCAGGTACCCTTTCCTGACCATAGGGATTGTCATGATCTGTCATAGGCATAAAACACATCTTCAGTGCTATGAGGGGAAGCAGGAATGGAAAGCTCCTCCCAGCTATGGAGGATTGGGCTTGGAAGGTTCCCAAAAGGAAAGCAAGTAACACTGTGAGCAGAGAAGATGGCTTATGTAAGGACATACTCGATAGAGTTAGGAAGTCAGTTGTGGTAACATACAAATAACGGAGCACTAAGGAGTACTGGCCCAAGTGTGAGCCAGCCTGAGCTACACAATAGTTTAGACTACAGAGTGAGATCAAAAAAAAAAACCCAGTCAGGACATTTCCAGCCAGGGCTATGCACACCTGTAATCCAGCACTCAGGAGACCAAGGCAGAAAAAGACTGGTCAAAGGCTAGTCTGGTCTGGTAACAAGCCCAAAATATAAAAGAAACTGAGGACATAGGCACATGTATAAGAAGGAGAGTCAAGAAAGAGCTCCACCAAGCAGCCGGGACATGACTCTGTAGTGAACACAAAACTGCCTTGGACCCCTGAACCCAGCATGGTCCTGGCAGCAACGCTGGTTTGTCACCAGGCTAGGTACAGGCACAAGGAATTCAGCTCTTGCCTCAATGCCTTCCACCAGCATCAGGTTCCATTCTTAAAGACCATCCACCCCTCTTACCCAGTAATCAGACTCTGGACTGTCCCCGTACAACCACTGGGTCAAAACGGGGCAAGCAAGTTGATGAGAGTAATGGGGACACTAGGTCAAGAACCCAATCCTGGACAAGCAGAGGCAGATGAGTATCAGAAGATGGAAGAGGTAGGAGCTGCTAGGAAGTCGGGCTGGTCGGCTCCTATCTGCATCTCTTAGCGCTTTTACTTCCTCTCTAGGAGGAACCTGTGGCTTATCTAACTCGTCCTTAAGGGCAAGAGGGAAAAGGACACAGAGAGGACACGAGGTGGTTTCTCCCGAGAATACTACTGAGAAACTCCAGTTTAACCCCGATATTTCTAGAGGCCTCCCCAAGATCCTGACCGGAAGACATAGCTCAGAATGATGACTATTGGTGCCTTCAAAAGGAACAGTTCCATTCTCAGACGTCAAAGAATATGACGAGTGTAGACTGTAAAGGCACTTCTTAGGAACTCTGCGAAGCTAGTAAAATAGAGCAGGCTGATTTTTCAGGAAACGGTGCTGAACGAAGCGGGAGAGGGACTAGTTAACACTGCAGATCCATTCCCGCTAGTCTGAATCTAGGACACGCCCCCAGACCAGATCTCCAGCACGCTGGACATGCATGTGCAGGACAGGACAGAGACTATTATATTAGACAGGCTACAGGCACAGGAATCGGACAGCGCTCACTGAAGCTGCCAATGACAGCTCAGAGAACAGATGCGGGCCACCCACCGCTCACCTTGCACTTGAAGCCGGCGGCGGGCGGCAGGAGCTCCCGCAGCAGGCCCTTGGCCACCTCGCGGCTGGCCTCTTCGCTCACGAAGTGGAGGTTAAGCACCTCGTGCGCCTCGAACTTGGCAAGGCGCAGCAGGGAGCGCAGCGCCACTCGAGCCTTGGCCTGCAGCGCCGCGTTGTGCTCCGCTTTGGTGAACATCATCAGCAGGTGGTAGTCCACTGGACCCGCCACGCCGCCCTCCAGGCTCTTGGCCTTGGCACCCGAGGCCGGCGCCATGGAGCCCCGGGCCAGCTCCGGCGCGGGCGGCGTGGGTGCGGCGGCCCCGGCGCGGGCCTCCTTCAGCCTCTTGGTGGCGCTGGAGAAGGTCTCCCGCCCCGAGCCCAGATAGTAGAAGGCGCACACCGCCAGCGCCGCGGCCAGCAGCAGCGCGCAGTAGTGCGAGCGCACCGCGCCCAGACGCGCCATGGCCCGAGCGCACGCGGCCCCGCCTCGGAGGCCCATGCGCCGGAGCCGGCGGCCCAGCAGCCGGGCCCACTCAAAGCTGCACTCCAGGGCCCCAAGCCCGGCAGCCGGCGGCGGCCATAGCGGGGGCGGGGCCACGCTGACCGGAGCCAATCATAAGCGTCAATACCTAAAAGGCGGGGCCATTGCAGGCCTTGCAGCAGCTAGGTCCTAGGTTCCGAGGGATTAGACTCCAGATGGCCCTTGCAGATTTTGGCTGCCAGGCTTGAGAAGGCTGGGTAGGTCAGCTACGCTCTGCTGAAGGGGCTAGAGAGGGAATCTGGGTCTTGAAATAACAAAGGCCTCAATATAGGATTTAGGTAAATAAATGCTGAACTCGAAAAAGCTAACTTTTCTTTCTCCAAATTTTGGCGCACGCTCTCTCTCCTCTTCTCGTTTTTTCTTTCCCTCTCTCTCTCTCTATCCTCTCTTAACCCCCTCCTCTCTTCTCTTTTTTCCATCCCCTCTCTCTCTGTGTCTCTGTGTCTCTCTCTGTGTCTTCTCCCTCCCTCCCTCCCCCCCCCCCCCCCCCCCCCCCCCCCCCCCTCTCTCTCTCTCTCTCTCTCTCTCTCTAGCTGCCTCTCCAGCATTTAGGAAACTACCTAGAGTTGAGTTGAAACATTTAAACCTTAAGGTTTCTTCCAGTTTCACACAGAGGTTTATTAACACCCAAAATGAAAATGGCTTTCCCATCCCACTTCACACCTCTGGAGAATATGCTTGGCCAGCAGGGAGACTTCACTGCCCATAACTGTAGTCCCTGCAGAGAGCTCCTGAGGAGCATCAATGTTGTTTAACTGGTTTTCAACCCTTAAGGGAAAGCATGAGATGTCCCAGAAAGTTGAAAATTTTTAACTGGGGCATACTGAAGTGACTTAACCAAGCACTGGCCTGCAGCTATTTAACCATCAGCAGTCAGACCATGCCTGGCAGACAAAAATTCGTTAACTTCAGGTTTCTAAGACTTGGCGATGTAACAGAAGTTCTGAAGGAAACGGGTCTGTTTGCTTGAAAGAGGTGGAGGTAAGAAGGCACAAACATCGCCACTTACACTACAGGCTAGCCTTTCCCTGTGGATGGCGTTCACCTACCCCAGCATCAAGCCTTTCCAACTCTGCCCTTTTTAACTGGAATAACACTTCTGAAAAGCATCCCAACCTCTGAAACAGGCCTGGTGGGTTTAACGCATACTATTCACCATGGGTAGGGGAACCCCAGACAGCAGAATGATCACAGTTGGTAAAGTCATCTGACCCACACAACTCCAGGATATGCAGATTTCCAAAGCATAACTCAAATTCAGTGAGCAATTCAAGTTCTGGGTTTGTATTTTCCAAAACCTCCATGGCTGGGACACATGGAACAGGAAGTCCAGGCCTCTCTATTGCTGCAAACTCGCACCCAGCGGTTACATGGTTACTCTGAAAAGTTATGCCCAGATGTAAAATAAAGCGAACATTACCATCACAGATCTAAAAGACAATAAGGTGTCTGACATTGAATAAGTTATATCCAGAAGATATTAAATATGTAAATATCCAATAGGTATAAAGTTTAGTAACCACAACTTTTTGGGGGTGTTTATAAATACTACCCCAAATTTCTTTTTTCTTTCTTTCTTTCTTTTCTTTTTTTTTTTTTGTTTTTTGTTTTGTTTTGTTTTGTTTTTTGAGACAGGGTTTCTCTGTATAGTCAAGGCTGTCCTGGAACTCACTCTGTAGACCAGGCTGGCCTCGAACTCAGAAACCTGCCTGCCTCTGCCTCCCAAGTGCTGGGATTAAAGGCATGCACCACCACTGCCCAGCCACTATCCCAAATTTCTAAATAATTCTGCAACTTGCACCGTTTAGTCCCCACCTATAATATCAATCAAGTGCCCCCCCCCTCTCTTCTCTCTCTTTCTCTCTCTGACAGTTATTCTACAATTTTTCAACTAATGACTTATTTTCAGACATTTAGCCCTTTGATTCATGCCAAATGAATAAAACAACTTAAATTAAACCAAAGTTGGGAAAATGCTCAAATAATTCTTCTCAAAGCTTCCACTGCCTGACGTGGGATACACAGAATGAAGCTCAACCAAACCAGCATTTTCATTTCCAGAATGTAACCCTAAGCTGTAGCTTACCACACCTTATTGGTTGCCCATAAGGAAAACTTAATGTTGTGGCTTAAGTATACCACTACACAAACTACAATGGTGGGTTCCCAGTAACCGCCGAGTTACTAAGCTGCTCTAGAGTACCTACTGATCACAAGGGTACGCAGGATACAGCAAAGAAGGAAAAGCCTGTTCTTGTCCGGTGTGCATTCTAGCAGGGAAAATAGCAAGTAAAACCTCAGGTGCAGTAGGCGGCCTTTTCTCAGCTTAGAATCCATCTATGTGGGTGTATCACAATATGGCTACGGAAACAAAAACCTGATGTGCACAATTAACTCTAGGAGTAAGTTTAACTTTGGCCAAAGAATCTAATTCCTGACCCAGTATCAGGTAGCTGTTTTTTCCTGCAGCATACTTTCTGTATCTACTTCAGACCATGGCTTATGGTCTCTAGACTCCTTCCTATCCAGTGTGGGGGCTTGAACCATCCTTAGTGTTTCTATGACAGCCAGCTACGACCACCTAGTCCATCTTTCTGTGTTGAATGGACTCCAAGAGAACAGAGGATATTTTCTATTTTCTTTTCATCAAAATATTTCCACTACTGAACAGTTTCTGATACACTGAGAGAGCCTTTAGAATACTTACCTATCAAACCAGCATTTCATGTCCAAGAATTCATCCTTGTCCTAAAGAAATAACAATATACCAAAATACTAAGCCCTAACAGATAAAACTGTGGGAGTCGGAAATCACAGCAGTTTGGAAAGCTGAAGCAGCACAGTGCTTGAGTTCAGAGCGAGCTGGTAGTTCAAGCTACCTTTCATGGTTGCGGTCCTGTGTGACTAAGGTCCTGGCTCCTAAGGATTTATCTTAGAGCTAGATTTCTGATCGCAGATAGATTAGTATTAAGTAATCACCAATGAACTGCTTGATATAGTGGAGTCATGAAATCGACAGATTCAGAGGTAGGCAGATCTCTGATTTAAAGGCCGGCCTAGTCTATATAGCAAGTTCCAGGCCAGCCATGGCTAGCATACAACCATGACTCAAAAACAAAAACAATCAAAAAACCTGATGTGTTCAACAACTGCACACAGATAATTTTTTAATGTAGAGAAAACCTATACATTTAAGAGACATATTAGCCAACTGCAGTGTATGAACATTTGTGAGCTGACTTGGGAAAACCATATTTGAGACAATTGGAAAAATCTGATAATTTTATGCCATTTAAGAAAGTGTTGTATCATTGGGCAGTGGTGGTGCCTTTAATCCCAGCACTTGGGAGGCAGAGGCAGGTGGATTTCTGAGTTCGAGGCCAGCCTGGTCTACAGAGTGAGTTCCAGGACAGCCAGGGCTACACAGAGAAAAGAGAAACCCTGTCTCAAAAAACAAAAAACAAACAAAAGAGTACTGTATCATTACACAAGATCCTTTCAAAGACTCACACTAAATCATCTGGAATTTGGTCCCAAGGGTGTTGGGGAATAGGGGAAAGAGGTCCAAGAATAGAAAAATGAGCTATGAGCCTGTGACTTTGGTACATTTGAAATTTTCACCAAGTTTTTAAAATATTCCCCATCTAAGTAAAAGTTCATAAAGCGATACTGTCTGCTGTATCAGTGTGCATAGACTCAAAGGTCTAGAAGGGCTTCTATAGCAAGGCAGCAGCTTCCTAACCAGCATCAGTCAAAAAGAACCTCATCTATAAACCAGCCTGTCCAGAGCAGCAGTCACTAAGCACATGTGGCTACTGGGCTCTCAAGGTATAGCACTGTGCCTGACAACTGAACTCATTATTGCCTAATTTTGATTTTGGACTTCTGCAGATTGGGGAAACAGCTCAGACAATACAGTGTCTGCCACACAGCACGAGGAGGATCCGAAAGTGGTCACCAGAACCCAAGTCTTCAAAGTCTAGCATGTTGGCACATGCTTATAAACCCAGAATGGCCACTGGAGAGGCAGAGGTAGGATCCCTGGGGCTAAAGGGTCATCTGGTCTGACAAGTGACAAGTACAAAGCCATCGAGAGATCTTTCCTCAAATAAACAATCTAAACTTTAGATTGCCTGAGGAGCGGCGCTGAAGGATGCACAGGGACATGTTCACCTGCACATGCACACACATAAGCATGCACACACAGACACATGAAATATACAAGCAACTTTGTAGCTAATGGATTCCATTTTGGACAGCACAGGTAAGTCACAGGATTAGAGATGATTTTCTTTATACTCGAGTCTTGTTTTCTGGGTGATGTTTCCAAGCGTTCGTTTGCTTGTTTGGAGCAGGCTCATGTTAAGTCAAACTGCCCTGCCTCTAACTCCTGGCACGTTGGGATTACAGGCACACACCATCATCATCATACCTAGCCCTTTTCTGTGACTTAAAGGCCTTATTTTGGCAGTGAGGATGTTTTTGCAAAACAAAACAAGAAAGGAAAACAGCCTGTTTGCCTTCATTTAAAACACTTGCTGTGGTTTCTTCCTAGACTACTCTGAAAATGAAATGAGGGGTTTTAAGACTGATCGCTCAGGGTCTGGGTCAGCTTTGTGTTAACACTTAAAGGAAAAGCAAAACCAAGCTTCGCTTGTGGGTCTGCTTTTGAGCTCTCCATTCCTTCCATCATTCGCACAGAAGCAGAGTTTTGTTTCCTAAAGGATGGAGTGTGGCTGGGTTGCCAAGATTAGGAACTCCAACAGACATATCAACTATTATGTGACAAGCAGAAGAGTTCAAAGGCTATTTAAAAACCAAAGTCTGTGGTCTTTAGTGCACAAAGTAGAGGCTGCAACATCTTTGGAATCAGGGAGAAGATGATATTTTAAGCATCAACATGGGTTTCTGAATTAAAGTCATCAGCAAACAGGATCAGCGTGGACCTCCCCATTATTTGAAGGGTGGAAAGCCAAACCCGACCTTAGCTAGAGCAGAGGTCAGACTGAATGCAGCAGAGTTCAAAAGAAGTTGGAGCGTTCACAGCAACTGTGCCAGAAGTGAGATATTTTTATTGACTTAATATTGTAAATTTTCAGCATACAAAGTAATCAAGTCTATTTACAATTCTTACATAATGTACATTTTAGAATAACTATGAAGATAATGTACTTTGCTCTATTTACAATGACAAACTACAGTAAAACTACATTCATGAATTAGATACAAACCCTCTACACACTAATAAAAAGCCATGGAGTGTTGGTTATACATTCTTAAAATCCTTTTCACAGCTAGCAAGAAATAGTACATGTGATCAGCCTTGATGACTGGAATGATCCAGAAATTTCACAGAGCACAAGTAAACATATATTTAAAAAAGGAGCTTGTCATTTCCACAACCCAACCTTTAGCCTTCGTGTAAAATGGTGCTAAAAACCTTGATAACACAGCAAGCTTTCCCTGTTAAAATTAATACCCCAAATAAGGTTGGGGAATGAGACAGATCTAGAAAATAATATAGTGAGAAGACCAATGAGAGGAAAATTGTATTTAATTGAATCTTCCTTTGTCCACGAAACCCCTCCCCCACAACCATCATCCCTGGAGGGGGCAGGACTCAGCCAGGTGGAACCCAGCCCATTTTACAGTTACATTTCATTAGAAAATATTACAGAGGTAATAAATAGTGAGTTTAACTTTCTAAGATTTTTCTTTTATTAATGTTTTCTATTGTAAAAACTGTAGACTTTTTTGCAATTTGATGCTTTCAAATTCCAATCTATTCCTTTAAACTTCATAATGAGGTTCTCCAGAGTATTTGAAGTCTCTTGCCAGACACAGGGAAAGCTGCTGTTTGACAGTGATGTTGAGTCCTCTCAGGACACAGATGCTTCTGAAGCATATGTCAGACCTGGGTCACGGGTCAGCTCTCCCACCAACTAGCAAAGCAAGTGACCAGCTCTATCTCTGTAAACCAAGAGCAGCAGGCTAGGAATGGAGTCACGGACAAGGCTGACAGTCACTGACCAGTCACCTCAGAAGTTCTGTGACACCAGGAGAGAAAGGGTGATGTGAAAGCCCAGCCTAAATCATAAAATGCACAAAGCAGTTTGCAGTTCCCTTTGCTTCATCCATTCACTTTGTTGTCAGAAGCCCTGGATCCAAGAAGGACAGGAACTGAAGTTATTATGGATAGAGGGTTTCATTTTTCAAAACCACACATCTCCTAGCCCTGCTAATGGTCAAAATGCAACCACACAAAGAGTTCATTTAAATGGCTGATCTAGGAATGTCCAATTACTCACAGTGGGTAGCAGTTTAGTTTTAAACAAAATTTGGCTTATAATCAATCGTATCTAATATGCAGGCAATTTTATTTTTAAATACTCCAACATGATCACAAATTTAAATTCTGTAAAATGTGAGTGTATACATGTTTTTTCTCCAAAATGCATCTTTGACATACTAAAGTACAAGTTGCAAGCTGTATTACTTTGGGGAAAGTAAATACTAGCGTTCACTAAACTACAGCAAACACCAGCGTCAATTAGTCAGGCACCCTGTAATGCGGGAATTAGTTTTCGACGGCTGTGTTAAAAATGAAGTTGAAATCTTATGCTGCAATGAAGCCTGGTGGATGGCTGCCTCATCACCTTTACCCACATCCATGTTAAAGCTGTATTTTATGAATCCTTCGTAACTCCTCGATTCTTATTGTGGCTGTAACTCAATTCTTACATCAACAAGAACGTGAAAAAGAACTAACAGATGAATAATAATAAAGAGACAGCAGGGCAATCAGAACGAGCAGAATGCATGTCCAGCCCCACTGTGTGTGCTCATCTTTCTAATGCTCAGAATACTTCCCCCATGCCACAGAGAGCTGTTAGTGAGCACAGCAGAACTCAGCCAAGCGCCTTTGAAACTATTCATTAACAGCCTTGCTACACTCCAGTCCTTTCTCTCATCCAATTTGTCAGTACATTGAGAAAGTAAAGTAAGCCACAGCAATATAGCCTTGCGTTGCCAGCCTCTACACAGTACTAAGTGATGTAGCTAAATCTGAATTCTAAAGATATTCAGAACCATAATAATCTTTAAGGCATTTCACTTGAATCTTTAAGGCTTTTTTTTTTTTCCTCCAAAAAACACTGTAGTCATTAAAGAGCAGCAGACACTGACTGCCACAGCCAGGAGGGGCAAGTGCAGAGGAACTGCCTCAAGCAGGGGAACCAGATTGAGTTCCACCTGCACCTGCAGAGATGAGGCAGAAGCTCCAGAAGAGACCGACAAGGAGCGCTGCGGACGAGGGGCAGGCTTTCTTACTTTTCTTTAGCCTATTTCTCTTCCTCTAACATGTTTTAGGACAATAAATTTCAAAATACATACCAATTAAAATATCACAAATGAGACCTTTGCCTTTATCAAAATGCCTACAAGGCCAGATGACCCGCAAGTCCGAGGCAAGACAGCAAAGACAAAATCCTTTCACCCTGTAAAGTTCGCACATCCTCAGAAACAAATCATAACAGATTCTTATCCTCAGTGTGTGGTGTCTTACTAAATAAGCATTGCATGCTTGCAACCTGGATCTTATCTGGGTGGCAAATTTATTTCAATATAATTTCTACTTAGATTCTGATTTTATATTTAGTTAAAATAAAGCTCTACGTACTGTGGGGAAAATGTTAAAGTCTTTACTTAATTAACTATAATTTTACATGCATTTCAAAATGTCTCTGTGAAGCTGAGTATCAATGCTACTTACAAATAGCTTGTAAAGAGTAAGTGTAATCAACAGTGCCGGCAACGAGCTACAAGTCAGCCACTCCTTCATCGCGTCCCTTGGCAAGACGTCAACCAGAGGTGGGACTGGACAAACTATAGCACATGTGCATAATTTTGGAACTCAAAATGACTTATTTCACTTAATTCTAAAGCTATATACAAGATACAATTTAAAAGAATGTATACTGTTGTATAGTACACAAGATAAATGTAGAAAAAAAAATAAAAGGACTTTATTGCTGGCAAATTTTAGTATAAACAGGAAAAAAATTAGCTTTCTTTTCCATTACATGGAGATTTTTCTTTCACCAGGAGTAATAGTAAAAAATATATATCTTCGAATGGATTAATTCCAAATATAAAAATGCCCTACAATATTCTCTTTGACATCACTGTGTTTTGATGAAAGTCCAATTTTGCAATAGTCAACTTCTGAAATCCAGTTTTGTTACACTGACAATCTGTCAAGACTTCAGGAAATCAGCCTGACAACAAAAACCGAGCTAGGATTCTTGAGGTGACTGAAGAAAGAAAGCAGTAAGAGTGGTCCACTCACACGGCAGCTGTGTTGCTGGGGTTTCGGAGGACAACGGCACCTAGGAGAGAACGAGGGGCACACTCGCTGGTCTTAGCAATTGTGTTGTACACTGTGACAGCTAAGCTGCCAGAAAACACGCATATCTATCTGAACCACCAACTATTATGAGGACAGCTACAGAAAAGACACATCCTCCAAGCAGGTAAGATAACTAGCTCCCACCTGATGCAGACATGGTGACTGAATGTTCCCAGGGGAACCAAAGTCTCACCCATGCTTGGCAAAGGATGGAGTGGTCTAGCAGTGTAGCACCTCGGAACTTGAGAGATGCCTTAGATCTGGATACAACTTTATATAAGAGCACAACTCATTAAAAAGACTTTTTTCTGCTTAAATAAAAGAAGAATTATAGTGGATTTCTTCCTTTCCCAATTATGAGAGATCTTGTTTTCATTTACAAAAATCCAAAATGAATGGGTACCATTTTTTCCAAATTCAATGTCTACCAAAATTAAGTGGAATTAAAGTAGTAAAAAAGGTGTGAGTTTCTGGTTGTACACGTTAAGAATTCACCGAATTTCATAGTTTCCCCTTTCCTTTTAAAAGAAGGATCAGAACTTCTGTGAATCTTGCTGGAAACGATTGAGTTTCTCTGGATTATTGGATGCCATTTGAGAAAAATCACGAAAAATATCCTGGTAAGTTTCATCACCTGTATAAAAGGAAAATAAAGACATTTTTAAAATTTATACAGTTCAGATATTAATAAAACAACATTCATTTTTACTCATACTACTTTAAGATTCATTACATTTCATTAAAGTTTTGTTCCAATAGCACTTTTTGAAGGAAATAGGCCAGCTAACAATAATTCCAGAAAAGTGTGTAAGAAAGGGAAGGCTATACCTGAGAGAAGGTCTCAGATGCACCGCAGAGGGAAGCTCAGAGTTAGAGAGGAGCAAGATGCAAGCGTTTGAAAGCAATGTGAAGAAACACAGTCATTAGCACACGAAAGAAGAGAGGTTATTTGAAATGAAGTAAACAGCACATTTTACAAGAAAATACTTCTTGGATAAAAGTTAAAAGAAATGAGTAAAAGCTGGTACTAGTGAAGGTTCTGACGGACACCCATTACTAAGGGGAAAGCTTCGTATACTACCATCAACGAGAAGCGATTTATACTGAAATAGTTGTTGGTAAAAAGTAGCTCACACACGCTTTGAGGTTCAGAACTAATGTATTTGATCTACTGTTCACTAAACTCAGTAAGTCAGAAGGCCATAAAGTGACTATGACACCAGAGCTCCACCTCCTGACTTATGATCAGGAATACTATGCAAACCGGAGAGGAAACCCGAGAAGCTGTTCACATGAGTGTACACTCAACACTCTTGCGGAGATATAAATTATAGGTAAGGACATTGTAGCAAGCTGGATACGATTTCTCTCGCTGAGGGACTATATGCACACATACAGATTAACCCCTCAAAGGAAAACTCTTATTTTGGGATTGTGATGCGTCCAGCTCAGCATTACCTTGGTACAGACTCCTGGCATGCTTCTGTTCACTTGAGCATAAAATACTGTTTTGTGTGATTCTTGTCACCACATAGTTTTATCATTCCCCTAAGATACCATGTGTCCCATTTTATGACAATCTTGTTATTAAGTTATTGTTGACAGTAAACTCTGCAAGCCTTTGAAAGCAAGATTGTGGAAGACACAGGTGTTACACCAAAAGCTAGAGAGTTAGAGAACGACTGAGGGCAGAGAGAAGTCTAGTAAAAAGGTCTAAAAAGGTAACACATAGATTTTAATAAAAAGAGGTTAGTACTCGCAACATTTAGTACCTTTCAACATTTAGTCTATGTAAAAAGCAATTTATTAAAATCCTGGAAATTTAATCGTTACATGAAATAATCAGCTGAGCCCAATTAATCTACTTTAAAAGGGGAAAGTACAGTGAGAAGAGCCTCTCTCAGGCTGGCTGGCGGCCAGTAATGACTCATACTCATGACTGAAGGACACTGAAGGCTACTCCACTGTCCTATGCATGACACACACTGCAACCCATTCCTGTGCTTGGCCATCCTACTGCACACAAAATAAACTGAGAGGAGCGCAACATTAAATAACAATAAATAAACCATACAAAATAGTTTAATTTTTTCTCTTTTTAGATGTTGAATTAAAATATGTAAAATATTTATTGTAAACATTATAAATATTTTAAAATACTATTCAGATAGTCTAGAATTGTACTTTCCAAGAAAGTGTAAAGTGCAGATCATAATACAAAAATACCACATTGATTTTACCATCCAACACCAGAAGTAACATAAAAGGCACACAGTATATATTCAGGAAGGAACAGGAGAAGGGTCTAGCAGACGCTCACACCAAGTCGTTCACAGATAGCACCAGATGAGCGTTCTCAAGTATGACAGCAGTACAATGGTAATATATGGCTTCCACATTCAGTGATGTATATTCTGTATAATGAGTTGTTCTTCTTTATGATTTCCTAGTGTCTGATTTTAAATCACCTAATACATATACAAGGACATCTTTAGTAAAACCATTGTACCATGCAAAACTAATTCTAAGACCTTTCAGTCACTAGAGCAAACACGTCCTTGGAGGAGACTGTGGTGCCGTAATCATCATTGGTTTCACGGACTGCAAACACTTAAGAGTTCATACAATACAAAAGGAAGTTTCTAGTTCACACACAAAACTCAGTAAAGTCAGTTTTTTAAAGTTAATAATGCACTAATAGTATGCTACCTTCCTTAGACCTCAAAATGTGTTGTCATAAGCAACAACCGTGATTTACTTAAAACAGCCAACAACAAAGTGAACTTCATTATCTAAACTTTAAGGAGAATTTTAATCACTTGAAAAATTTCCCAAGGCAAATCTAATTTATCTGAACTAGAACACATAAACAAGATTCTGGGATATATTATCCTAGAATCTTCCTATTAATACACTGAACAGCTCACTACAAAAATCAGCTAAGCATATTATTTAAATTACTTAACCACATTTTTCCCATTCAGAAAGTTCAAGTGTTTTATGTGTCTGAACAATTCTAAAGCTTTAAAATATATACTTCTATGTTTCCACTGACAGTTTAAATTCACTTTTAGTTTTTGGTATTCAGAATACTCATCACAACAGCAGTTAGGCTGACTGAAAGGGTTCAGTGACCTCATTACTGAAATGAATGTTCTCAAAAGGATGTGATATCCACCCTCTGTGACCACAGGCATCATCCTGCCCCACTAGCTGGGAGTACTTTCCTTCTACAAATGATTGAACGGGTTCCAGAGCTACATGTTCACATGACCAGAAGTAGCTCCCTAATGCAGTGACTCTTCACTGGCTGAGAACCTGCCCACCCTGACCCTCAGTGAGACCCAGAACTAGAAATAGGAAGCACCTAACTGATTCCCCCACTGAGAGCAATGTGTGCTATCCCTTACCTGGCCAGGCCTCCTGAGAGTTCTAAGGCTGCTGAAGGAGAACCTACCTTCCTTTCAGAAGCACAACTTAATACTACCTTCCATGAAAAATGGGAGTTCACGGGGTTGTAGATACTCAAGTTTAGAAATGAGGTTTCTTAGAAATAAGTCCATGATTGCTAAGCATTAGAACTGAGTCCTTTAAATAGTAGGCCTGTCACTATCAAAAGACTGACAATTCCTGTACCTACAAACTTCCCAGAGTTCTGATGTTTCCGTCCTATGGCTAGGAAGCAGTCAGGCAAAGTCTGCAGGCAAAGAGCTGCTGTTGGAGCCAAGCACATCTGCTGTGCCAGGACTCAGAAGGGAAAAGAGGAGGCCCAGAGCATACAACTCGGTGAAGTGCACACTACACCGTGGCCTGCACATCACACCAATATTCACCTTTAAACACTGGGCCCTAAAACTGAGCCTAAAATTGAATTATTTTCAAGATATTTCTCAAAGAGTTTCTTTTAATCTTATTTTCAACCCGGCATTGATGGCAGAATTAATACTTTTTAACTTCTAAATTAAAATTTGAAGATGGTTCAAAAATGGTTTAAAGTGAGGCCTGTTTTCAGATTTTCATTAAAACTGAAAAATCTTTTCCTACTGATACCTGAAGTTCCTATACTTACACACGACTGCACATGGGTAACAGTAAAGGGGACTTCTGAGCACTCCTGGATGACATAGAAGAAATTCAAGCAGAACCAGAACTGGAGCTAAGAGGAAGGTCCTGCCCTTGCAAGTTCCCACCTGCAGAGCAAGGGGACCACTGACTGTGGCCTCTGACCTCTGGCCTCTGACCTCTGACTCACCAGCTGAGCAGGCATAGTGAAGCTCTTTAAGGAAGGTGCAGCTGACTTAACAGTTACCTTTACAAGTTCAGGAAGATACAAACGTAACAACTTACAACCTTGCAGTTCACTGCTACCTGACAAATGTCAGCTCATTTTCTTTGATCAATTTCTATTCAAAGTGCTTAAATGCAAAGGCCTCAGAAGTGGCCTTGTAATACTATCATTTAAAGATACGTTACAAAATTAGAACTTATTTAAGAGCTAACATCCAACTCTGAAACAAATGTGTGAAATCCAGAGTTACTGCTGAGTCTGACCCGTATTAGCACACTCACATCTCAGATACAGTATCCTGACCTGGCAGTCCTGTGAGCCATAGGAGTAAAGTAAACCACCCTAGATTAGCAGTTCTATCCGACCCAGGCCCTTTCTTCTTCCTTATTATATCAGGCCAAAAATAAATAGTAAATACAGTCCTGTGAGAAAAAAAACAGCCTCACACTGACACAGTTAGAGATTACTGTATCACATACTGAAATAGTAGAAATTACTATAGTTAAACTAAGTGGCTGAAGATAACAGAAAGTACAGAAATGTCAGAATATGCTTCAGCAGAAATGAGAGATGCTATCACCAGTCCACTTCAAAAATAATATAAATATTCATTTTCATAAAATATATTTCTATAAAACAAATATGCCCATTGCAAAGTGAATGTCTTTCTGTAGGTACTTGAGTCATGAATTCCTAAAATGGTTAGTAATATGTGCATGAATATAAAGCAGATTAGAAACAGATACACTCAAATTCATGAACTGGAATACATGTCGTTTCTTGTGCAAATGGCCAATCAAGCATGTGTCCATCAAATAGAATAGTTTCATCAACTTCTCTTCCTTTTCTTACCCCATGACCCACAGGTGATGATCACTCAGGAAAAACACTGAGATGACCATGAATTGACCTATTTCTAGTAAGTCTACCTCGTCATCAGGTTCACAAAACACTGTTCTAAATACTACTTACCCCAGCAAACAGGGTACAATTGCCTGGGGCAAAGCTACAGATAAACTTCAGCCTTTGAAACTAATTCTATATCCATTGTGGACTTTTAACTTACTGGTAAGTTTTTGCTTTAAATCTTCAACTCATTCTTAGATTGGAATACAAAATGCATCAATAAACCTTTTCTTGGTATTTTCCATACTAACTTTTTATATACAAAACACATGGTGATTTGCTTTTGTTCCCTGAACACAATGTATAGAAATTCCCTGAATAACAAAAAGAAAAGCATTTTGTTATATTCACTGGACAGCTAACGAGAATCCCTTTGGCGGCTGCTCTCTGCTGCAGCACGTTAGAGCCTGTGCGTCAGTGCACTCCCTGTGGGATGCTCATGGAAGACATCTGTACAGCAGACAAGGGCTCCAGCAGCTGGGCTGACTGAAGACAGTAAGTACGAGTGCACTGAAATAGAAACAGGAGTGTGTGGAAAGGCCCAGGACTAGCCACCCAGGAATTCAGTAAGTACAGTACAGAAGCTAACAGCTCACAATTTACAAGTACATCATAAAATCTCTATAATATCACATCAGTTAGCTAAGGAATTATGAGTCTTCCAACTGTAGACTGATAAATTCCTGAATGCACTTTTTATATTGCATCTCAGTATGATTGTTAGTAGAATATTGACCTGGCTGTCCATAAAGTCCTTCTGATTCTCGCATTTCCTCGTTCATTCTTGCTAAGCGTAACCTAGAATGAAAGAAGAAGAGCTCTTAGAGAAATCATACAAGTACGCATGGACAATGAGCTACATAGACAGTTAGAACATTCGATGGTACAATTACTCCTTTATCAGCATCTGTCAAGTAAAAAACTCAGTAAAAAAAAAAAAAAAACTCAGCACAGTGGACTAGCAATCTGCAATACAAAACCAACCATGCCTCACTTTCATTCATATAAGGCTCATGAGCAATGGTAAGCGATTCCTATTTAAACCAGATGTCTACAGCACTTTCAGGTCGCCTCCTCCAGGCTTCAGAGAATTCCTAGCTGCTATAACAACCTGATGGAATTGTTGCTTCTACGGTGGGGAAGCAATAGCCTGCCACAGTTCACTAGTTAACCCTGAGTGAGATAGTTCTCAACACAGAAGCAACTTGTTCCTTCTAAATAATGGGACTATAGTTTGGTATACAAGTGCTGTAGTAAATGACGAAGGGTTACAAAAATTCTCCCAAAGTTACCAATACTGGTCATACATTCTTAGGGGGTTATTAACCCTCAAAATGGAAGACAGGTAACAATGGATTTAAAAAAAAAACAAAACAAAAAAACCAAAACAAAACAAAAAACAAGTATTTCTTCTTTTTCTGAAAACATGGAAGGTATTCTCTGCAGTGCCTGACTGTCCCTGTAGGCCACCACGCGGCAGCCTTGCCTGAGCCCTCGTCTTCAGAAAGCTCATCTGGCTGATGATAGTCTGCCGCTGACACCCCTCTCCACTTCCTCTGTGTGTGAACAGGGATGGCTCCTAAGTACTCCTTTGCTATGCAGATTCTCCCAAAGGGCTCTTGACTACTTGGCTTCAATTATCCACTTAATATGGGCCAGAGTTATCTGGGGGAAAGTTATCTAGGGGAATCCCAAATTGGGGGTTGTCTGGATCAGACTGGCCTGTGCACATGTTTGTAGGGCATTTTCTTGACTGCTAGTCGATATAGGAGGCAACTGTCTTCACAGTAACAATATCCTTCACAGTAACAATAACCCCTCCCTGGTCTGAGTCTTACTGGCTAGAGGCTGGGAGAGGTGGAACATCACAAGTCCAAATTTCTCAGTGTAAGCTTAAAGCAGCCACAGGGTTTCTTTGAACTGAGAACATCATGAAAAGGCATGTGTCTACAAAGACAAGAGGGATCACCAAGTCTCAGCTTCCTTTAGCCCAGAATGGAATGATCACATGACTTAAAACCTGCTTCCCTTAGCCTCATGAAATGAAGTACAGCTGACATTATCACATTTCTAGGTTCTAACACACTACTTTGATCTAACATGCAAACCAACTGAAAATCACCAGACTCTTTATTAGATCACGGTAAAAATAACTCAAACATTCAAAAACAGGTATTTTGTGTTAAAAATAATCACGTATCCATGTGAACAATGTGTTTAAAAGACTGCTGCCCCTCCGGCTTGGTGAGCCTCTATTCCTCAGAGCAACAGCATCAGACTGCCCATCGCTCCACCCGTCCCAACCCAGCTCTGTGCTGTATGAAACAGAAAGGAGAGCATGGGGCAACCATGGCCTCGATTTCTACTGCTCTGGCAGCACAGCAGAAGTAGCCGAGAGTCCAGGCGTTAGAGCAGGAATTCTGGTGTGCAGTGCTAGCTTTAAGATTTATTAACACCTTGAACTGTCGGAGGCTGAGCTTCCATGCCTAGAGAGTGAGGATAATAAGAATAACATCCTCACAGACTACTGCGAGGATCAAAGGAACCCGTGCATTTTAGAGTGTGTACCGCACACAGTGTATCCACAGGAGCGGCACAGACAGAACACGGAGCTGAAAACTCCCAGAGCTTGGTGTAAGGGCGCACGCCTTTCATCTCAGCACTTGAGAGGCAGAGGCAGGAGGATCTCTGTAGTTCACAGCCAGCCTGCTCTACAGAATGCGCTCCAGGGCAGCCATGACCATTTGTACAAGCAACATGCAGTACGGGAAGTGGGTACGAAGGGGACACTCACAGAGTCACTATGTCAGCATTGGCTGCTTCCACGGCTATACTCAGAGGGTCCTTCCCCTCTTCATCAGTGGCGTGCTGGTTGGCACCTCGCTTTAGGAATAAACACACCTGCCTGTTTAAAGGAACAGCATTTCTCAGTATGAGGACAAAAAACATCCATTTCACTTCCAAAATTAAAAAGTTCTACCTAACTTAAACGACACTGTATTAGAAAATTCTTAATGCATCCCACAACATTCAATGAACAGACTTCAATAATAAAAGATGACTGAGAGCTTTACGAACCCCAGATATACTGCTTAGTTCGTCTTTGTACACAAGCCATACTGGCTAGTTGTATCTGTACACTAACCATACTGGTTAGCTATATCTGTGCACTAGCTATACTGGTTAGTTTATAACTATACACTAGCTATACTAGTTAGTTATAACTATGCACTAGCTAAATTGGTTAGTTGTATCTGTACACTAGCTATACTGGTTGGTTGTATCTGTATATTAGCTATACTAGTTATATGTGTACACTAGCTATATTGGTTAGTTATATCTGTATATTAACTATACTGGTTAGTTATTATTGTCAACTTGACATAAACTAGAGTCTCCTAGAAAGTGGGAACCTTGGTTGAAAAGTTGCCCCTCTCAGACTGGCCTGCCTTGATTGTTGACTGATGTGGAAGGGCCCAGCCCACTGTGGATGAGATTACCATAGACAGGTAGGCCTGGGCCACATAAGAAGAAAGCAGCTGAGGGCTTGCTTTAAGAACACACACTGCTCGTACATCCACCTGTAACTCTAGCCCCAGGGGACCAGACACTGCATTGTATAATACCCACACACAGACATACACACAATAATTAAAAAAATAAGCAAGCTGAGAGAGCTGGTCAGCAGCACTCCTCTGTGGTCGCAGCTTCAGTTCCTGCGTCCAGGCTCCTACTCAAGTCCCTTCCCTGACTTCCCTCCATGATGAACTGTGACATAGAAGTATAAGCCAAACAAAGCCTTTCCTTGCCCATGGTACTCATGGTCAATGCCGTTTATCACAACAGCAAGCTAGAACACTGACCGGAGTTTTCCTTGAGAACCTTTACCTTTCAGATTCTATAATGACATAAGAATGTACTCCTTTTACAAATTCTATTTAATAACCTTAACCTGAGAAAAAACAAAAACATATTTTGATATAGTTTCTCAAGAGGAAAGCCTCCCACCTATCTAAACACTATGGCCTACCCTGTGTGTCCTAAGACAGTGGCGTGGTGCAGCGGTCCCCGCCCTTGGACATCTCTTTGGTTCACATTAGCACCATTCTGCAACAGGAACTCACACGTCACCAAAGAGCCCTTGAAGAGAAGACGACGACAATGTATAAATGCAAATGAGAGAGAGCACATCTGTATGTCAATCAGAGAAGTTACACTTGTTTCTTCCAAGAACTAATTAATACAAAATTGTTTACAGTTAAGTCCAGCAAAGTACACTACTCCCCTGCATCATCAGAATTCCCTTCCAGCTTCCCCTCTCAAGTCAGAAACAACCACATGATACTTGGAACTCACTAGTGAAAGAATTCATTATTTCTAACCCTTCTTAGAACAGTAACACTAATGATGTTTGGTTTAGAATTTATGATATTTTCTACTTTACTAGATCAATGAAAACCCCAATGCATTAATTCATACCTGTAATATAGCCTGAACGCATTAATTCACACCCTTAATAAGGCCTGAATGCATTAATTCATACCCCTAATACAGCCTGAATGAGTGGTGTTGCTTGGTTTTCATCTGAATTAGCCCAGTTCACATCTGCACCATGAGCCAGAGCCTCGGCCATTTTGGGAAGGTTTTTTTCATACGAAGCCCTGTAAAGCTGAAGTCCTGGATTAAGATGTTTAGAGTCAAGAAACACAGAAGACTCTTGCCTTTCTCCTTCTGGAAATCGAAGCACAAATACATTAATAAGAATGTGCTCATACCACAGGATGTAAATAGTATAACAAGTACAGAAAGAGTTTGCAAGAAGGAAGAGTTCTGTTGGGTGAATGGCAACGACTGGAATAGCAAAGTGAAGACGAACTTAAAGCTAGTTGGTGTAAACTTAGGAACGGTCAAAGAGATAGCTTCAAGACAAAGTGGCTAGGATACCTTATGGTGCATGTATGTGTACACACACACACACACACACACACACCCTCAGTTTTGAAAGTGAACTCCAGCTCATGACGTAAACATTGTGACATAAAAAAATGATGAACAGTTATTCATCTATACCAATGAGCACATGAGAGATTCGTTATTTCTTACAGAATAAGCATTATAGTGTTATGTATATGCTAAAGTCTGAAGTCATAATTGATTAGATTTGAAACTGAACATATACGAAAAATTTTATTACACTGAACATCTTTATTTCAGGGTGTGTGTGTGTGAGCGTGGAGGCCGTCGGACAGCCTTTGGGAGTTGGCTCGCTCCTTCCACCAAGTGCCTCTCTGGTTTGAACTCCGGTCATAAGGACTGGCAGCAGGAACCTTTGCCTGTCGAGCCATCTCCCCAGTATGTTTTTAAGTATTTGACAAATTCTTAATGGCTGCTGTGTTCTATCAGGGACTGCAGTGAAATCTAATTCCAGATATACTGCCTCTTGTAATTAGTAAGGCTACAGGAAATGTTTCAACATTTCTACACATTTAACTTCTTCCCGTCTTCCCGTCTTATGTTGCCTGACGTCATTAACATTTCAGTAATTCTCCTTTAGTAAGTCTAAATCTTCTAGTAAAAGTTTGGGAAAAGACAATAAAAAAAAAAACAGTGAAAAAACTAGCAATAGGAAAGTATCATGGCAGAGTTATTCTTGGAATAAATATGCTGAACAAAAGAAATGACAAAGATTATATACAGAAAGATCCCACTCCTCTGACTTAAACAAATGCCCCCTTTTATCATCTGACAGTAAGCAGTGCAGTGTTTAGGGACTGAGATTCTAGCAGTCAGGAGAGGCCAGTTAAAGAGGCAAAAGGATAGGGTAAGGGGAACATCAAGGCTCCCATGGGCGTCCACACAGCACGTGCATCACACATTCTCCATCGACTGCACTTCCTCCCCTCCCCAACAGGAAGGTGGAGGGCAAGGAAGATCGACACCTGTTGCCAACCTCTGGCCCTCGTGTGAGCACACAGATGCAAACACACCTGTGGAAGAACTGACACTTGCCACACGAATTTTGCAACAAACTACACCAATCAACACGGGCTTTCACCAGCACTCACCAGGCTCATATAAGCTATTGGCTGACACGGTGGAAGGTAAAGATTCTCGTCCATCATCAGAGCACTGCTGGATCCCACTGTCATTACTTTTGACTGTGGTTTAAAAAAAAAAAAAAAAGGGCTAGTGATTAAAGTTCACATCACTTAGAAAAATGACTCCCACAAGCAACAAGTTGTAAAATGAGCTGGCACATGGAAACATGAAGCCAACCACCAGCAGCATACAGAGCCCACTGCAATCTCAGTCCTTCTATAACTTATCTAAGGGAACACAAAGACGTCACAAAGCCTGAAAATAAACTAACTTTCAGAGTGACCCACAGATGCTGGGATAGTGAAGAGCTTACTTTACTGGATGGCTGTGGTAATAATGTGCAACCCTGAGACAATGGGCAACATCTAGAGAAATGGCCACACCGCACAATGACCACTGGCACAGACGTGGAATCTCCACAATAGTACTTACTACTACGCAGTTTTGAAGAAGTATCAAAGTAGGAGAAGAGTGAATCTAGCTCATCAGGACAGAACAGAGACTCCCGCCTGGCCTCGTCGCTATTTACAGCAGCCACTGGGGACATGCAAGTTAGCAAAGCACAAAGCAGGCCGTAAGAGGGGGGGTAGGAGAAACCGTTACTGGGGAAGTGTAGGGAGAACATAGGAGGGAAAACAGTGGTTAGCCAGATACCCAGGGCTTTAGGCATAATCGACTTATAATCCCATCTCCCCTGGCTATTAAGCAGCTGTACTCTGCAGAGTACAGACTACCTAGAAATTTGAACCATGGGACTATCTCAGGTGACAGTCTTAAAGACAAAGAAATCCAGTTTTCCTTTAGAATGTACAGAAGGAAACAGGCTTCTAGTATTTACAAAACAACAACAAAAACCCTACAATGGCCATAATTGTGAGATCAAAAAGGTAGTTTCACCTCGAGATGATATTGTAGGTAAAATACCTGGGGTGTGGACAGATGCTCTGACGTGGCTCAGCCTCTGGTCCTCACAACTCTTAGAGATGATCCTTTTCTCCTGCTCGGAAGGTGACGGTAATGTAGAGTATTTATCCACAAACTTCCTCTCCACATACTTTGCTCTGATATATGCCTCCTTCTCCTGTCTGGGAAACAGAAAAATGACAAAATACTCTATTTAGCCCCTTAGCATGGCTAATGCTGCACTAGATACTGAATCTAACAGTAGTTACAAATAAACGGGAGGGGGGGGTGCCAGGGAGACGGCTCAGCAGTTATAAGTGCTGGCTGTTCTCCCAGAGGACCTGGATCCCACTCACATCACAACCACCCATAACTCCAGGGAACTGAACACTCTCTTGTAAAGGCTTGACACAGAACATTGTATGACATGAGTTCCTTCTAAATAATAAGGTAATTTCACAGTCAGAGGAAATACAAATAACCCACTGAAAACTCAGTTACATGGCACTCCATGATTCTCTTATTTTCTGTCTTCATGTAGCTGTACATATTCTGTGTTTTATAATAGAAACATGACCAGGAAAATTAAAAAGACATATAAAGAGAAATTAACATTAATTTCATTTTTACTAGAGATACTGTCATATCCTGAACAATCACTACTGGTGGTCATAATTTTTCATATAATAACTATAATAAACATATAGTGTTCCAGATTTATAGTAAAGAAAAGGCCATTTCCTCTTATTATATAACCATAAAATACACCTGTTCCACTGGTTAGTAGTAGTGCACGCCTTTAATCCCAACACTTGGGAGGCAAAGGCTGGCAGATCTGTCAGAGTTCAAGGCCAGCCTGGTCTACAGAGTAAGTTCCAGGACAGCCAGGGCTACATGAAGAGAAAATCTGTCTCAAAAACAAACAAACAACAAAATATATATGCCTGTTCTGCAATTTTCCCTATTTTATTTTAAAATGCTTTGATCTTTGCTAAAATAGGAGAGCCCAAGATCTAATAACTATGCCACACAGCAAATATTAAAAGTGACTTAAATTATACTGGCTTGGTTCAAATCTCAACATAGGATTATGGCAATTGCAATTCTACTTCTAAAAATAAGGAATCCTACTGATTAAATCTGCTATCAGCCACAAAGACTAACTCTCCAAAGGCCCTGATTCTGGCAGCTTCCTTCAGCAGACTTCTATGTGTAGACCTACAAGTCTGATGTCATAGTCAAGCTGCCTTTCTTTCTTTGATTTGGAAGCTGGAGAAGCACCCATCAAGTGTGTGATTAACACTTGCTGAACTAAGTCAGATCAAGCAAAACAATTCATAGTAGATAGTAGAAACCTTATCTTTGAGACACTAATGAACAGACTCTGTGTGTGTGTGTGCGTGTGCGTGTGCGTGTGCGGTATGTGCCCATTTGTGTGTGTACATGTGTGTGAGCTGGTGTGTACTCAGCTGGTGTGCACTCAGGCACATGGAGCCAGAGGTCAACACCAGGCACTGTCTTCAATCACTAGCTTTTTTTTTTTTTTTTTTGAGGTGACTCTGGAATTTACTAATCCACTGAGATTAGTTGGCCAGCAAGCCCAAGGGACTCTTTGTCTCTGCCTCTCCAGTGCCAGGATAATAGACTAGCACTGCCACACACGCCTTGCTTTTAAACACAGGTGCTGAGGAGCCACACGAAAGCTCGAGCCTGAGCAGTGCTTCCTTTCAAATGCCGACCACTGACAGAGCCACCTGAATGGCACAGAGCTCTGACATTCCTATGTAGAGTGTTTCTATGCTTCGTTGTCACCTAAACACTACAAACACACCCGTAAGGTACATGGGTCGACTGAGCACACTGAAGACAGACACAGTCACATTGCAACAGAAGTAATGATGGTGACTTCTCAACACCCCACCACAAGGTCTGAAGTCACACTGGATTAGGGAGGAAGTAGCACATTACGGTAATCATACCTTTGTCCTGGCTGTGGTTTCTTTATTCCCATTTTTTCCAGCTTAGCTTCATAAACACGATTTATAACATCATTCCCCAATTCACACATAAGCTATTTGACAGGAAAATAAAAATACAAGCTAAAAATTAAAAGTCCTAAAAATAAGTTAAACCTTAAAATCCCTTTAAGAGGGTTCTATTAACTAATTCCTCTTTATAGACTGCAATTGTTCATTCCACCAAAAAAAATTTAAAGTTAAAATGAGCCAAAGGCTGAGTTCGTTAAACAATTCTTTATCACAATACTCTCACTCCTATAACAAGTACTTAGCAGATAGCATCCATCCATCCCATCCATCCATCCCATCCATCCATCCATCTTATCCATCCATCCATCCCATCCATCCATCCATCCCATCCATCCATCCATCCATCCATCCATCCATCCATCTTATCCATCCATCCATCATCCATCCATCCCATCCATCCATCCATCCATCCATCTTATCCA